GTAGTTCAGGGTAGTCAGTCAATGATTTGTTGTTGCTGCAAAGTATGCTGTTGATGGACTGCAATGTTTGCAGAACAACCAACTGGTGATTGCCATCAACTTGGTGCCTGCGCTGGAAATCCTCAGACATGGGGCAAATCTTGGCATCCCATAAAGCCCACACATCAGCAGGCTGGCAGTACACCAAAATGGTGGCAAACAGGTACCTCAGCTGCACTGGCATCTGGAACTGGACTGCCTTGGATAAGCAGTTGATCCATTCAGTATCATCAGCAAGCTGGCCAGCAGCTTGTGCAGCATCCTTGTAGGAAGCATATTCTATCCCGCCAACTGTGCGGATATACTTAAACCCTTCAGGTCCATGGATATAGCACAGCAACATCCAGAGGTGATTTTGCTCAATATCCATTGGGAAGCAAGAGACCATTCTCCCAATGGTCTGAGCACCTCCCCACTCCCTGGGTTTCCACAGTTTCTCTCATGGCAACCATACAAAGTAGAATGAGATTATTATGGGGTGGTTCCTATGAAGAAGCTGCTCTGACCAAGGAAAAAACTTTATCATGAAAACTTTGTTGAAACAAAATTTGTTGATCAGAAATACTGTATCTACTGTACTGCATTACAAACTCTAAATGGATCAACTTTTCCTTGCTATGTGAAGCTTACTTTTAATGTCAGCTGTCTTTGTTCATCTTTTACAATTAATCAAACAACCGCGAGAAGATCTCGGAAGAAGCTTTTATTTCTGGAATACGTGGAAAGACCTCATGTGTTATCATGAAATTTTCCAGGAAGACTCACAGTATTTGGATTACACTTTTTTATTAGTTCCTGGTGGTTGTTCTTGTCCAATCGAGGCCCTGGGATTTTCCACGCTGCTGAATTTGCAGTTCCTCCTGCCTTTCATTGAGCGAGTGCAGCTATTCATGGTGATGCTTATTCAGGTACATTTTCATCTGATTGTCGTGGATTTTATTTCTTTGAATTTAGATCGATGACGACTTCTACCATTTTTACATTTGTTTTTATTTTATTTTATCGCATTCAAGGATAAATCAAATACTCAAGGTGATGCAGCTGTTGCGGGAATCAATGTCTTGGATATTGGGGCAAGAAGAAAGCGGTTTTATGATGACGGATTTGCTGCCATGAGAGGAGGTGAGCTCCCTGAAGTTTCACGTCGATTTTTAATTTTTCATCGAACCGGTGGTGCTAAAAGGGAGCACTGATAAAATTGGTATGAAAGGGAAATTCAGATGATCAATATAAAATTTCCAGCCTTTCTGTTGGAGGAGTGATTCGTTCAATGATTCATTTAATGCCTGACTTCCTAAAAACGAGTGTTTCTTCTTGGAAATTTTTTTGAAGCCAGGAAAACTTTGCTATGTTTTAGTCACATTGGCCAATTTTCTTTTCCAACGTCTATTTTGATATTTTCGTTTCTGTGAAATTTCATTTCTGTAACTTTTGGCGGGGGTTTCGAGATCATTCAGGCAGTTGGGAAGAAAAATAGTGTAGTGGCTTCCTTCCTAGCACGAGGAATGGATTTCAAATCAAATTGTATTTATTCATTTCTTCAATTTTTCTTATAAAAGCGAATTTTGTATCAATTGTGTTTGTGTCATTTTATAGACTTTCGAAAACCCTTTTGAATGTGTTTTGAAAATTTCATAGACCTTTAATTCGAAAAATTGTCGTTCCGGAACTGCTGCGTGTCTGAAGAATTGTTTTCTAGTCCACAAGCAATTGAATCCTAATTGACTGGTTCCAAGTAAGGTTGCGGAGCACTGATAGAATGTAGGTTGCACGGACTCCAGAACTTCAAAACTCAGCAATGTATTTCTACAGAAAAAAATGCATAAATTTTGGAAACTTTTTCATGTCCAGGATTTTTCTCTAATATTTGCAGTCCAGGTTGAGGTGAAGCCACGGTGGCGAGTGACACTATGGAACTAGGCAGGGGCTGCCCAAGCAGGGATGGTACTAGGAAGATCCGTCCCAAGCACATTCAGTCCCAAACAGTAAGCCCTTTAATCCCCTTTGTCATTGGGGTGGCGCGCCGGTGTCCGGAATGGTTTCCTCCTAGCTTATTTTCCATTGTGATCAGTAGAGGGATTAAGCTGGTTGGACCGTTCGAGAAGAAAAGGGATTTGGGCACCGGCCTCAGGAAACTGGCGCCAGGCGCCATGGGCTTATACCCCAAAAATTGTGCAGAAAGTAAAAGGTTATTTTTGAAAGGGGGACCATAACTTTCCTCCAAGTCTCAGGTATACTGTATAAGGAATACTAAATACCCTTTCTTCAGAAGTATCCAAGTTGCCCAGTTGTCCTGTTGAACAGTTGCTTCTTTTTTTTATTTTCCACTGCTGGCAATTGAATTTGCTTTGATTTGTACTTTACTATTTTTGTTTTGTTTTACAACAAGATTCACATGCATTAGCTCTGTATCAACTTATGAGGAATAGTGCATGGTTATTTATCCAAAAACCATGAGAAAATATCTTCAGCACACATCTGCTTTGGTGTAAAAAAAAATTGCCTTGACCTTGCCCGGGTTCCAACATTTGATGAATATAATTCGGATGAACTCTTGATGACGAGGAAAATTAGGACATTTCCATATTCTACTTGTGAACCTTCTGTATTTGCCTTTTGTATTGAACTTTGGACTTCGGTTTGCATTGTACATGAAAAATACTTGAATTATTGGTGTTCCTTCTGTATATTTTTAATGTTTTGTACTTGTAATAAATGGCATGGAATTGAAAGTGGATGATGAAAAATTATTACAGTCAAGGGGGCAAGGGGCTGAAGAAACATGCTATAAAAAATGTTGAGGAGTACATTATAACAGAAGTAAATGAGAGGTCCCAAAAACACAGCATGATTACCAATGCACCTGGCGATTAGAGAATGAACCCAGCAAAAACGGACCCCCTCCCAGCCTCCTGGCGGAGGACCAGACGGTTTAATCCTTTCAGGTTGAACAATGTGGGATAATATAGGAGGAAACCATTCCTAGGACCCTCTGTCGGAGCCACACAAAAAAACCATAGTTGTTTGGGGTAAACTCAGGGGGTCTAATGATATTGATGACTTCTAAATCATCCCGAAATTATCGGTTGACAGCTCTGGAGAAAAGGGCTAACCCATCAGATGCCAAAAGGAGCGAGAGAAACCTTGGATGCATATACTCGTACTGCAGGTCTTTTGATCCTTTTGAGAATCCCAGCTTTTGGAATCTTCAAAAACGGAGTTCCCAGGAAACAACCTGAGAGTTTTCGGTTTTTTTTTTTTTTAATCAGGTGTTCACAATATTTTTCAGTCTGTTCTGGGAGACGAAATCCTCCATCAAGCATGAAGAACAAGGCCCATATACCACAAACCAGAATCAAAAGGAAAACAGAGAGGTAGTAGAGAGATCGACCCAAGTATTTTCGAACCCGATCAGCAACCCTTTAATCCTCTTTGTGGTCCCGTCGGCGCGCCAACCAGAAAATCCCTGACCACCCAAATAATTTTTTTTAGTTTCTTCAAACTAGCGGCAGCTTTACATGCATTTTGGCACTGAATGAATTTTTGTAACTCTTGAAATTTTAAAATTGTGTTCCCTCTTGAGAAAATAATGAGAATGGCAATATATCAGTTTCAATAAAAATATTTTAGATGAAAAAGTAAGATGATGCTCGGGCAGGGGAATGTCACTTTCATAAAATCACTTTAATAAAGATAATTTTTCAGATGAAAAAATAAGAAGAAATGCTAGGGGTTGAGTGAAAAGTGGCTTGAACACTGAAAGAAAAAAAATTGTGGTTTTAGCTACACGGAGCTGAAGTTGAATTCCACTTTTTGAAGGCAGATTATGAAGTGGGTGCATCTCATAACTGCACCCAGAGAGAATATAAAATTCATGAATTTTTAAAACATGTTATTGCCCTTGCTTCTGCTGCCTTTATACTGTTCCCCAAACCAGGTAGAATTAAATTTTTCCTCTCAAAATGAGTAACTTCAATTTTGATGCTTGTTACATTTTATGCGGAACAATAACTAAATAAGAGAACTTTAAAAACATAAAAATACAGTAACAAAACCCCTATTTTTGCATTGCAATTTTTTCGAGAACGCGTCGGTTTAGATGATAAACACTCACTTTCTAAGTACAGTACTGTACAGTATTTGCAGAACCTTCAGTGTATGAAAAAAAGAAAAGCGACATTTATGTACACCTTGCTCAACAAGAGTGAGCATATGAACGAACGCCGAGTTGTATACAATTTTGTGGCTGATCACGAAGAAAACTGAAAGTAAATCAACAGTTATGCTATTAGGGCACCAAAAACTTTAATGTCGTAGAATGCACACACGAAAAAAAAAAACGGGTGGCAACATTCATTCACCACTAGAACACTTCTGAATCATCTTCGGGAGAATCTCAGGTATATCAAGTCATCACACCGTATTCTCTGTCCCGAGACACAAAACTTTCCTCGCGACAAAAACTATTCAGAATTTCTGGTAAAACTCAAAAGGCACCAACATTCCTCGGAAAATACCCTTCGCAATTTCTAAATGAACACTTCAAAACACAATCGTTTGTCTGCTGGGCAGTAAAAAAAAAGGCAATACAATGATGTGTGAGACGAGGAGAAAACTTCGGGGATGCATTGATGGAGAGAAAACATCTGGACATGGGCTTCTTCAATATCGCTGGCTTTAATTAAAGAATGTATAACTATTTGTTTATTTCTCGGATGTCAAAAATCCAGGGGAATTCGCTTAGTTTCCAGTTGTGCGCCTTTTGTTGTGGCATTTACACTCATGTCGTACTTTTTCTCATGAGCCTTCATTTGCAAATTAATCACGGAAAATCATTTTCGACCCCCCGAAAATTTTACTTCACATGATGTGACCATGTCGCCAACTTGAGATAGCGAAATAATACAGATGAGAGATCGCGAGAAGGTCAAATAAAAACCCCGGGGCGAAAAAGGACAAAATCAATGCAATCCTGGGACTTCCTCTTCGCTGGACCCGTCTTCTTCTGAGGTACTTTGCATTCCTGTGAATCTACACGGGTTATTTGCAGAATTCCTCGACTGTTGCTGATGGTGATTTTTCAACCATTGGTGATGATGATGATAAACCGTCGCTTGCTGGTTGTAATAACCCGCGGGGAATTCGGACTGATTGACATTATTAGCAGCGGGATACCCTTGGACGTAGCCCTGGTAATTCTGCTGATAGTAGTAGTTGTGTCCATAGTAAGCCGAATAGTCGCTGTATCGGGGGTAAGCCTGGGGGTAATCGCCGGAATCCGGATAATTTTCCGGCCAACGAGTCGCCTCGACAGTCGGCGCCGGGTTTGCGGGTTCGACTTCGGGTTTCTTGGCGACTGGGATCGCCTCAGGACAGGATTTGGAGAGAACCTCCAGATTCCAGTCACGGTGACACCCACGGAAATGCGGCCCAACGTCGCAACCCCGGTGATGAGGGGTTTTTGAGGATTCGCTGAGAGACGAAACGCTACGAATCCGAAGCGCGCCGCCGCCTTCTGGTCGGGTGTCGATGGGTTTCAGTTCTGGGACTGAATTTGATGCGGGTTTCGCTTCCGGGGTGGTCGCAGATGGCTCTGGGGTTTCATCTGAAAATTTAGAGAAGAATGGATTTGCAGTTTCATTGCTCAAGGGTTTCAAATTCATTTCCGTTTTGGAAACAAGAAGAAAGAAAGATGAAAGCTGTTCTCGGCCGAGAGTTTCAGACATTTCATTATGACTTTGCACTTTGGAAGATACATCTTTCATCACATATTCTGGTATATTTTTCGCCTTACATGGGCAAAATTAATGACAACAGTTGCGAAACGGTGAATTTTAAAAGGGAAATGGAGACAGGAATAATAACCTTATATTTCATAAATTATAGGTAATTAAGTATTGAAGGTTCAATGTACCAGTTCTCGGTATTACAGTACGGTAGTTCAATTAAATTCATACTGAAATAAACTTGCACATCTAGTTTTGCGTATTCGTTTTGAATGGTTTTGAATATTCTTCCCCATTGGAAGAATATTGCCAGGAATCACTAAGCGCGCAAATCGGCGAACTCCCATTAGGAAATTAATGCCATTATATTTCCATTCATTCAAAATACCTAAGGATTTTTATCTGATTGCGTGTGAAATCTACAAGGTAACAAAATAACATTCACCAGAAGCTGGTTGGGGACTGTTGCTGTTGACGAGCCCTGTGCTCGGCGATGACTTCCCGGATTGCACGGCTTTCTTAAACTTCATTCGTCGATTTTGAAACCAAATTTTAATTTGTCTCTCTGTCAAATCCAGCTCAGCAGCCATCTCTAATCTTCTAGGCTTGCACAAGTACCGGTTGAAGTGAAATTCCTTCTCTAATTCCACCAACTGGGCGGAAGTGTATGACGTTCTCGCTCGCTTCGTCGGGTTCTCGACATCTGAATGAAAAATTTATAATAATGATCAACTACAATATGAATACAGTACATCTTTGCAAAATTCAATTGATAGATTCGAAGCAAATCCAAAGACTTTCGGATGAATGGTGAGCCTACGGGTCTGTCCAATTTCGCGGAAGCGTGATAGGGTCATCAAAACTGCATTTGGAGGGTTTTCGCAAAAGGAAGAATCAATTAAGAATCGCGGTGATTGATTGATTGATTGCTGGGAACCCTTAGGAAAGTAAATTGTGAGTTATCTTGAAACAAAAGAGAAAGAAAAAAGTCAGCCAAGCCGAGGGATAACCAGCCGATCATCAGCTGCCTTGTCGCCAAACCGCATTGCAAATCGGCGACGCGACGTGATTCTATCATCTCAGCCAGACTAAATTTAGCGATCCCATGAAACTTCACACCCATCACCACCAAAAACCCCCTTTTTTCGGTTGTTCCTGAAACTTATTTTTTTCAAGTGTCCATGACCACGGGGTTCTAATTACGGTTCCCACGAGGTTACTAGCAAACCAAAAAAAAAAAAAAGGAGATGAGAAAGATGCGAACCCCGGAACTTGAGCTGTGTTCCTTCGGATAACAGTAAATTTTTTTCGGTTGTTCCTGAAACTTATTTTTTTCAAGTGTCCATGACCACGGGGTTCTAATTACGGTTCCCACGAGGTTACTAGCACACCAAAAAAAAAAAAAGGAGATGAGAAAGATGCGAACCCCGGAACTTGAGCTGTGTTCCTTCGGATAACAGTAAAATGACACTCAAAAGCACCGCAGGGATGGCTTCGTTGTGTTGAAAAAATTAGCAGTTTTGTGGAATAAGATCCGAATCCTTGCTTGACGTCGGAAAATATTTTTTTTAATTCCATCTCGGCTCTCTTTTTTGACTAAAACCGGTTCTTGATATTGAAAAAAAAAGAGATCAAATCATCCTTTCTCCGGTTCGTGGGAATTGAGAATCACAACCAAAAGGTTGTTGTTTTCTTTTTCGGATGTCTGAATCACGTTTGCATTATTATTTGGCATAAATTTTAAGTTGATTTTCATCGCAGTACATGTTAACTCTGATAACTTGGGCAACAACTCATTCGCATGTTCTGACAACAAAAAACAAACCCCTGACGAAAGGTAAAAAATTATGCAAAGAAAGCGTCAAATGTTTCCTTTTAAAAAGAACCTTCAAATGTTTCTTTGAATGTACTCAGAGTTCAATTATGACATTAAAGCTTCCTCCCACATCATTCGCAATTTTTTCCACGCTGTCTTTCCAAATATATTTCAAAAATAAAGTCGCAAGCATAAATTATTGAACCCTCAATAAGAATGTCGCAAGATGATGAAAAATACTTCTAAATACAGAAATTTGAAAATTCTATCTATTCTTTTAGATCCCCACAAAATTAAAAGTGAAAACTCACCCAATGGTTCACAGGGCGTCGGGATAACAGTCTTGTTCAGTGCTGTCGACGTGACAATCGCGACACTTTTAGTTGCACATCCCGGAGAATTATTGGCGACACTAGCTGTTGAATTGCGAAACTCCGTCATCCACGGATAAACCGGTTTTTGTACCTGATGTCCGTTCGATTGCCAATAATTCTGCGACTCATTTGACTCTGCTGCTTGAAGGCCGGCACTTCCGAAGTAATGGTGCCCGTAATAACCGAGTCCCGGGTGGGATTGTTGAGGAAGTTGTGGAATTTTTGTGTAGTCATAACCGGAAGCAGGTTTGGCGTGGTATGTCGGATATCCGACATGGTGGCTGGACATCAAAGGTGCTTCTTCAGTGCAAGGCATGCTGTTGGTGGTTGTTCCAGCAATTGTGCCACTGATGGGTTCCGTTTGGCCTGTGTTTCGAGGACAACTGAGCACTCTTTCACGGATTATCGATTCCGTTTCCACTATTTCATGAAAACATGGAGATAATCATGCATTTATCACAAACTGTATAAAAATTGCACGCATCATGTATAATACACAAAGAAAACATGCGGGTTATTGTGTTTATTTCCCAGCTTGCTTATCAGACCGACGTAACACGACAAATTTCAAAGTGACGGTACATTGCTGATAATACTGAAACCATTTTCTGGGATTATCATCGCATAACTTGATTGCGTTTCAACGGTTTCAAGATATGTTCATATTTATGCATTCACGGCTTCAAATTTCTTGACTGATGAATTACAATGCGACAGAAAATTATTTTATCACGCATAACTTTTTGCGACGATGAGTTTTACGAACTGACGAAATCTTTGAAATCGGTACACATTTTCTTGCCACTTTAAGCGCCACTTTCAATCAAATAAGTCCAAATTTCACTTGATATTGCTTTTCTGAAATGAAAAATATTATTGACAGTCCAAGTTAAGTTGAATAAAGTTCACCATCTGAATTCCTTTTAGAATCTGCGCGTCAAATTAAAACTGTATAATTTCACTGCTGACTTTTTTTATTAATATCCATGTTCCTTTCGTAAATTTTCTAAATTTTTCTATTAATTCATAAAAACGTGGGTTGCGATCCATCCATTGCCAACAAAATGGAGTAGAGAGGATCAAATAATTTATTTTCACTTTCAAGCCAATCTTCTATCTTAAAGACACGCATATTTTGAATATTTAAATTTTCAGGTTTATCTGTATTTGATTTTGTAATTTCAAAAGGCTTCTGTTACACTGCAAAATCTCACTTGGTTCGCTGCGAAGAACTTGTGAATAGTTGGGACCATTCTGTGTTCCTGCCTCCAGGAAACTCAGGCCAAGCGACTGAGGTTGACAGGGCTCAGTCATNAAATCCAAAGACTTTCGGATGAATGGTGAGCCTACGGGTCTGTCCAATTTCGCGGAAGCGTGATAGGGTCATCAAAACTGCATTTGGAGGGTTTTCGCAAAAGGAAGAATCAATTAAGAATCGCGGTGATTGATTGATTGATTGCTGGGAACCCTTAGGAAAGTAAATTGTGAGTTATCTTGAAACAAAAGAGAAAGAAAAAAGTCAGCCAAGCCGAGGGATAACCAGCCGATCATCAGCTGCCTTGTCGCCAAACCGCATTGCAAATCGGCGACGCGACGTGATTCTATCATCTCAGCCAGACTAAAGTTAGCGATCCCATGAAACTTCACACCCATCACCACCAAAAACCCCCTTTTTTCGGTTGTTCCTGAGACTTTTTTTTTTTCAAGTGTCCGTGACCACGGGGTTCTAATTACGGTTCCCACGAGGTTACTAGCACACCAAAAAAAAAAGGAGATGAGAAAGATGCGAACCCCGGAACTTGAGCTGTTTTCCTTCGGATAACAGTAAAATGACACTCAAAAGCACCGCAGGGATGGCTTCGTTGTGTTGAAAAAATTAGCAGTTTTGTGGAATAAGAACCGAATCCTTGCTTGACGTCGGCGGAAAATATTTTTTAAATTCCATCTCGGCTCCTCTTTTTCGACTAAAACCGGTTCCTGATGTTTAAAAAAAAGAGATCAAATCATCCTTTCTCCGGTTCGTGGGAATTGAGAACCACAGCCAAGAATTTTTTCTTTTCTTTTTTGGATGTCTGAATCACGTTTGTATTATTATTTGCAATACTTTTTAAGTTGATTTTCATCGCAGTACAGGTTACATCTGATAACTTGGGCAACAACTCATTCGCATGTTCTGATAACGAAAAACAAACCCCCGACGATAGGTAAACAATTATGCAAAGAAAACGTCAAATGTTTCCTCTTAAAAACAACTTTCAAATGTTTCTTTGAATGTACTCAGAGTTCAATTATGACATTAAAGCTTCCTCCCACATCATTCGCAATTTTTTCCACGCTGTCATTCCAAATATATTTCAAAAATAAAGTCGCAAGCATAAATTATTGAACCCTCAATAAGAATGTCGCAAGATGATGAAAAATACTTCTAAATACAGAAATTTGAAAATTCTATCTATTCTTTTAGATCCCCACAAAATTAAAAGTGAAAACTCACCCAATGGTTCACAGGGCGTCGGAATAACCGTCTTGTTCAGTGCTGTCGAAGTGACAATCGCGACACTTTTAGTTGCACAACCCGGAGAATTATTGGCGACACTAGCTGTTGAATTGCGAAACTCCGTCATCCACGGATAAACCGGTTTTTGCACCTGATGTCCGTTCGACTGCCAATAATTCTGCGACTCATTTGACTCTGCTGCTTGAAGACCGGCACTTCCGAAATAATGGTGCCCGTAATAACCGAGTCCCGGGTGGGATTGTTGAGGAAGTTGTGGAATTTTTGCGTAGTCATAACCGGAAGCAGGTTTGGCGTGGTATGTCGGATATCCGACATGGTGGCTGGACATCAAAGGTGCTTCTTCAGTGCAAGGCATGCTGTTGGTGTTAGTTCCAGCAATTGGGCCACTGATGGGTTCCGTTTGGCCTGTGTTTCGAGGACAACTGAGCACTCTTTCACGGATTATCGATTCCGTTTCCACTATTTCATGAAAACATGGAGATAATCATGCGTTTATCACAAAATGTATAAAAATTGCACGCATCGTGTATAATGCACAAAGAAAACATGCGGGTTATTGTGTTTATTTCCCAGCTTGCTTATCAGACCGACGTAACACGACAAATTTCAAAGTGACGGTACATTTCTGATAATACTGAAACCATTTTCTGGGATTATCGTCGCATAATTTGATTGCGTTTCAACGATTTCAAAATATGTTCATATTCACGCATTCACGGCTTCAAATTTCTTGACTGAATTACAGTGCGACAGAAAATTCTGCTATCACGCATGACTTTTTGCGACGAAGAGTTTTACGAACTGACAAAATCTTTGAAATCGGTACACATTTTCTTGCCACTTTAAGCGCCACTTTCAATCAAATAAGTCCAAAATGCAATTGATATTGCTTTTCTGAAATGAAAAATATTATTGACAGTCCAAGTTAAGTTGAATCAAGTTCACCATCTGAATTCCTTTTAGAATCTGCGCGTCAAATTAAAACTGTATAATTTCACTGATGACTTTTTTTTATTAATATCCATGTTCCTTTCGTAAATTTTCTAAATTTTTCTATTAATTCATAAAAACTTGGGTAGCGATCCATCCATTGCCAACAAAAATGGAGTAGAGAGGATCAAATCATTTATATTCACTTTCAAGCCAATCTTCTATCTCAAAGACAAGCATATTTTGAATATTCAAATTTTCAGGTTTATCTGTATTTGATTTTGTTTAATTTCAGAAGGCTTCTGTTACACTGCAAAATCTCACTTGGTTCGCTGCGAAGAACTTGTGAATAGTTGGGACCATTCTGTGTTCCTGCCTCCAGGAAACTCAGGCCAAGCGACTGAGGTTGACAGGGCTCAGTCATTTCAAGGTGAAACCAAACTTGTTCCCCGCCTGGGCGTTTTCATGGGTACCTGCAGAAAACAAGGATAAGAAAAGATGGAATCTGAAAATCATCCGTGGGCGGGGCTTGGGGAGGGCGTGACCTGCGGTGTACGTATGGAGGTGTGTATTGAGACAAATGGAGGAGCTTGCGCTTGGGTAAAGGCGTAGCCTTGATTTCCTTTGTTTTCTTGTACAGTATACTGTACTGTACCTTGTGTTTGAGCCTTGAAGACATTCAACTTGGAAATAGATGAGCCATGATTTCATTTGTCTTCTTCTACCATCCGTTGGAATGTTGAATACAAACAATTTTTTGTGGGAAATTTGCAGTTGATCAGAAATTTTGTGGATTGACGTGGGAAAAGAACTCGTATTTTCAAAGAATAATGCAGGATGATGAAAGGAAATCCCACAGGTAATATGCAAAGGTTACTAGAAAAGGAATTAAAATTGCATTATAAACTTGTGTAATGGAAGAGATAACTCATTGTGAAGTATAGGTGACTGCATGAGAAGAAAGGTTACATTGCAAATTTTTCTGCACGCAGCACATGTGAATGAAATTAATGGATCCTCGGATTCAAAAGAAAAGTACATGATACACAGTTATAAAAGTTGCAAAATTTGCAAAATGAGCACTTAGTACAAGTTTCGAAGTATAAAATAATTCTTTATCCGCATAAAAATACATTGTATAAAATTGTATGAAAATACAGAAGATTGTACAGTTTTTGTTTGAAAAATTGCTCGAGGGGGACTTTTGCACGATTAAAGTCTCAACAACTTCGCATGATTAAAGGTAAAAATGTAAAAAAAAAAATATTTTAAACAGCCAACTGAGCACTGAATCATCTTTTACCAAGAACGCATGATTTTTAAAATTTTTGTGCGTACGTTATTTTCATTGGTAACCTTGTGCAGTAACATTTTTCAAGTACAGTAGGAGTAACACGATTCAATACTGTACTTGCATGCTGATTGAATGGCTGCATCATCTTCGTTTATTCCCAACTCGTTCCTAATCTTACAAACGAAAGAATGGTTGCATAATGGAGAGATTTAGATTACATTAGCTCTGATTACTCTCTTGAAAGTTTTTGTTTTTATAGAAAAAATCCGGGCGTAACCTTCAACGAATGACGCATTCCTAGCAGATTATTTGACAAGCTCTCCCATGGGGGCCTCATTCACGTACCGCGGACGAGTGCATGCAGGTAATCCTGCAGTTCATGCAGCCAAAAAAAAAGGGCGATCCGACCCCAGAAAAGGGTCCGCCGGGAGTCCTTTGTCTGGGGCAGGGCCGGAGTTTTCACGAGAATTTGCGTGCCAAAAGTGTCATCCTCATTTCGGGGACACACTTTCAGCTGCAAGTTCGCGCCCTCCGCAAGCTAGTTTTCGCATTTTAGAAAAATTGTTTCCGTGCAAGTTTGCGCATTTTAGCAACTCTTAGGAATAGATCCGCAGGGCTATTTAAAATTATTTTTCACGTTAACGTGCAGATATGAAAAAAGAAAGTAAATGCATTAATTAAGAATTACGCATGAGTATAAGAATTTATCAGAGTATTTGGGAGTAACTTTTTTTTTACCAGGGGAACCTGTTCAGCAGGATTTTAAATACATGCTATCCTCAAAATTCTGCTGCACTCCACGCCTCACTATTTTTGCACCTCTTACAATTAATTTTTACAAAAATGAACATAATTTTTACAAAAATGAACATAAAAATGGGGATGTACGCATTGTTCGTATTACAGTATGTAGATCTCTGCATGGGGCACTTCGGAATTTATTCCCACAACAGCTCCATTTGCTGGATTCCCTCATCCTTATGAGGACAAAAATTT